CAAATGTGTATAAATTTATCTTTTATTTAACATCGAAACAAAATTGATCATTTATGATGTGCTTTGATCTGATTATTTGAAATAAAGAAACATCAATCGTTGAATTAGTTGAATGAACTGATCAATGGATCAAAATCTTTTCAATTTCTGTTCTTTTTTTAAACTCATTGATGTTATCTTTTGTGTGTGTGTGTGTGTAGCTATTAACAACTGACCATGTTTTTATTTTTTAATATTCATCATGAAACGTTATCTGTGATCGATTGTTCATAAATCAATATGAGTAGGTTACATTAACTTTGTTCGATTAGATTGTGTTGTTATTAATAGAGAAGTATTTGGTGATTTTGTATATGTTCACTGTAGAATCTGTTGAATAATTGATTAAATGGATTTAATAGTATAAGATTGTGGAGATTGTTCAGTTTTGGACTTGAGATCATGAATCAATCGATGTTAGATCAGCATTGAAAACCAGAAAGCATTGGATGGACATTTCATCCTAGTATAGAACTTATTAGCTTTGAGAGGTGATTCTCGGAGTCCTAGTGAAAAGCTATGATCAGTGGAGTTCAATCTGTGTCGGGTAGAAACTGATATATACTTCAGTCAATGGAAGATGGATGCGTAATTTCGTAGATTGATTGAACTTTGACATTAATACCGTTGGATGCCGGCTCCGTTGTCTAGAGTTCAAGAGTTTGAGCACGAGACTCAAGATCCTGAGTTGTAGTCCAGTATGTAGGATCGTAGATAAACACTGCTGAGGACTCCCATTTTGGGAATAAACGGTCGTCCAGTGCTTCCCAGTTATCAGTAGTAGTCTAGCCTAAACCCACTCATCAATTCAAGTGTTTATAATTACTACAATCTCTACAAATCCCATTTCTAAAAACGAACGGTAACAACTACATGACTGTTAGAAAAGGATGGAAGGCTATTGATTAACCATAGTAGTTTCTCCAAATTCACAAACACGTACGCATACACACATTTGATAAACGAACACTAGAGCACGACCGTCAATGGTTATCTAAAGACGTATGTAAAACGGTCAGGACAGATGATTAAATAGGCTCACACTTCATGACGTGAATCGTCATTTGATATCGTCTATAAAGATAACTGGTTGAAAAGTGGACTAGACGACCGTTGAAATGCTGGAAGGACTGGCCGATTGTTTTGTCCGAGTATTGAACTTTTCAGATCGACTCATGAATTCGTGTAACTCGATCATATTGGTAGCACAAAAGGCATATTCTAACATTATATTACCTGGCTCTTCATAAGGTTACGGCAGTCACTCTTGGAGCATCTAGTCTATTCCGGACACTCTGCTCTACGGAAAGACTCTTTAAGAACTATACATACAGTCAGAGAAGTTGATTTAATAAGAATGAAAATGAAAACATTTAGGGAATTAGAAGCTATTACTTTCCATCAGTTTAAGCCTGATTTTATCGAGCAAATGTAGCGATTTCAATTATTTGTCATTCTTCCATGGACCAAACATTCATTTCTATCATCCATACTCTATTGTTTTTATTTATTTTGTCATTTCTACTACTTTCAAATTATCTTCACAGCAATCAATTAGCAGTAGTTACAACATCAATCGGTTCATGATCTCAATCAATAACTTAATAATCTCAACAACTGTATATTGATAATTACCATGTGCTTACTAGTGACTAGCTTCGTTTGGGGATTCTGGGGTTTATAATGAGAAAGTGTGATCACTGGAGCTAATCTATATCGGGTAGAGACAGGTATCTACCTCAGTACAACGGAAGATGGTTGCACAATTTCGTGGATTGGTTGAGATTAGACATTAACACCATTAGATGACGGTTCAATGGTCTAGAGGTTAAGCGTTCGCGCACGAGACCGAAGGCTATGTCTTCGAATCCCGTGAGGTGGGATCGTGGTTGCACACTGCTGAGGAGTCCTATCAATATTTTCATGTTTCCAATCATTGTCCAACATCAATCGGTTCATAATCTCAATCAACAACTTTTATTTATTCTACAATTATAATACCTATCAAAGGTCATCACTTGTTCACTAGACAATTATTACGTAACCGAATATATATTTTAAACCTTTTTATGTTCAAGAATTTGTTCCATAAGAACATGTGATCAAAGCCTAGACACGATGATGTAATCAGAAGATTACAATATAAGATTACATAATGTGAATATTAACAAACATAATTATCAAGTTAGCAACAAATTATTATATGAATGCAGTGAAATAACCAAAAAATTATTTTTGTTTACCCTGGCCTACGACTGGATCACCAAATACCTAGACTGAATATTACCCCTTTCTTCCTTCATTTTTACTTATTTTTCCTTATTATCATTATTTGTCATTATCTATATCTTAATCTTCATAGCCATCATTCCCAATTTGTTGACCGTAATTACCTTGATAATACCCCCCCCTTATTACATATTATAATCACACAACAACATTATTATTATTATCTCAGTTGACAAAATTATTTTCAATTTTGCAATAGTACTTACTGTGACTGAACAATAATTATAGGCAATAAAGGTGTGAAATTATATAAAGTAATGATATCAGACACAATTATGATAAAATCAGACAGGGGATAACAAAAAAATGTCTCATATTGTCTAGACTTTATGTTTTAATTATACATCCCTATTGCCTTATTAATTACCTTTAATTATTTTAATCATTCACATTATGTAATCTTATATTTGTAATCTTTTGATTACATCATCATGTCTAGGCTTTGATCACATGTTCCTATGGGACAAATACTTGAACATAAAAAGGTTTCAAATATATATATATTCGGTTACGTAATAATTGTCTAGTGAACAAGTGATATAGTGAAATAATTGTCCATTTTTAATTAGTGATAAGATATCACATTCAGGCATTTAAAAAAAGAAGTGATAAATTGATTGGTCCCTTTCTGTCTTATTATAAAATACTAATTTAGGAAATTGACTATAAATACGATTGTAAAATTTATGTAAATGAAGTTGTCGACAAGTAAATTTGTTTGACTGGATCGTATTCCTTCTGCTGGTTCTCCGTCATCATCTTCATCATTATCATCATCAAGACGTAATGGGTTTCTTCTGTTTTCTAATAATGACAATATTTCAAGCAATTGTTTCGTTAATTCCCTCAGTGGTAACGATTGTACAACATTTTAGACAAAAGAATATTAAATCATTCTAAATGAGCTGGTAGAAATGTGTTCACAATTTGAAAATGGTATGCTTTAAATGAAGTATGAAATAAGAATATGATTGTTAAACTGTTATGTAAACTAAATGTAACCTTTAATTAATTAATTAATTAATAAAATTTCTATAATGAAATGATGTTTCTTGATGAATCTTTTGATATTTGAATTGTTTATGTTTCGTTATTTACATTTAGTGGGTTATTTGTATAATCGGTTTCTTTCTCTATAAGAACAAATGAGAAAATCTCATTTTTACTGTTAGGGTATTAAGCATTATTTCAATTTTTGCGAGTTTCCATATGACGAGCCAGTATACCGTGTATCTGTTCACTCTGTTTTGAATTGTTGATGAGAAAGTATTGTACTCATTCAGGATCCTGAACCAAGAGTATTCGAACCCAGGAATTTCACTCTAGCCAACGAACAGTTAATCCCTATACAATTGAAGCGCATCCAACCAATCTACCAAGACAATTGTTTGAAGTTGATGGATTTCTCTATCATAAATCTCTTTGTAATATTCTTTGGGTATTGTTGAACGACCGAAGGATGACTGTAGATGATACACACATCCAACCACCACCGAAACCGAATGACATGAGGGACAAATGCACTCACACTTCCCTTAGGTGTATTCTATTGTTAAGAGTCAAATTTAACGTCACTATGAGAATTCTCTGAGAGGAATCGCTTGTTGTGTAATTTCCAATGTTGCTTTGGACATTGATATCAGTGCCTATTTAAACGGTTGTAGAGAACCTACTGAATAATCAATTTTGATTGAGTTGGTATATTTTCAAGTCAACCTTATACAACTGTTCACAATTCTCAATGCTTTAGGATTGATACATTTCTAATATGTGTGATTGTTAATATGTGATTCATTAGGAGTTCATATTCATGAATTCACTAATGTTAGAATCTAGGATATTCAGGATTCTCTTTAAGAACTATTGAGTTGGTATTCACTCTTTCATCTTCAGTGGGTATGGTACATATGACTTTTCTACATTGTTATTGAATGCCATCTCACAATTAAACGATTGAAGTCCGATGGACGTGCACTATATTTAGATTTCGTGGACTTTCTTATGACTCTCATAATGTGCACATAATGATTATTAGTATGCAGAAGATTGTAGTTACTGGCTTTAATTATACAACTATTCAATCAAAAATCTAGTATTTGGAAGAAGACATTTTGAAAATATCTAATTAACAAGTAATTTTACAAGATTAAGTACACAAAATAATTAATGAATGGGGAGTTGTGGAGATTGTAGTAATTTTAATTGAATTCATGAGTCGATCTAGGACCACCAAAGGATGTTAGTTTCGTCCTAGTATTGTACTCATCAGTTAACATTCATGATCCCGAACTAAGAGCATTCGAACCCAGGACTGTCCCTTTAGTCAACGAACGGTTAATTGCTAGACAATAGAAACGCATCTAACCAATCTATCAAATTGCGCGACAATTGTTTGAGGCTGATGACTTTCTCTTTCTGAAACAAATTATATCCACTGGTTAAAGCTTCTCACTACAACTTTAGGTAAATCCATCGCGAAACTAGTCACTAATGATCACATGATTATAATCACAATTAGATTTGTAGAGATTGAACTAATTTGAGAAGTCTAATACCACAGTTATTCCAGTTTTTGTCAATTGTCAACTTAAGATTTCAACTATTGCATTTCTATTATTCTATAGACCACTACTATTACTGTTAATATTACAAACCAATAATTAACACATATATTTAAGTGTATATACTTTTTGTTTTAATGATTTTCAATCAAAATACATTGAACATTGAATAGTTTAGAATATCAAATGAGAAAACAAAGAATAGAAATAGATAAAAAAAGCACACAGTTAAAATAATTTAAATCGTATGCCATTATGAAATAGTAATGATAATGATTAATATAGTTTGATTAATGATGTTAATTTATAATAAAATAGAGAAGAAGAAGAAAGAGAGTTCATTTATTTATCCTTATATATATATATCAGGACAGAGTGGTTTGAAGAATGCTGGTTGGCGGCCTATGCTTTATTAGGAGTAACAGGCATAAGTTACTAAGTAATATATGTAATATAAGTAATATATGCAACTTATGATTGTAGATATAAGTAATATGTAACATCATTCAGAAATGGAATATCTGTGAATAGATGGTTAAACTAATGAAAGAAAAAAAATAACTGAAAGTAATCAACACTGTAATAAGAATGAAGGTAAACTATAGTTTGTTCAAAACAATTCAAAGTTGATATGATTTTTACATTTTATTGAACTAATATATGTTAATGCATTGATCATTGAATTCCTCATCTCTATCATTTCTTAGTTCATGATATGTATATAGTAATGGTTATATATATCTATATCTACATATCGCTGCCTATTACTTACTATCATTCATAATGTAATCATTATTATTTGTAAATAAATTTGGTTATTTATTCTTTGAAGAAGTGACTTACACTAAGTCACGAAACGTCAGAAAATCCAATTTTCTACTCATTGGAATATTACAAATATATTATTTTTTATTTATAACAATCAATCCAATGCTCAATTTATTCGAAATTATCAAATCAAACCTTGATAATGACACCTACATTATTATTTGATTAAAATGAAAGTTTAAAGAGAACAATATTAAACGTTGAATATTCAAAATAATAGGGGATTAACATATTTATATATATATATATATATATACAAACTACATTAATAACAAAGTCTATAAAATAAACTAAACTAAACACAATAACCTAGACATACTTGTGAATTATAGTTAAATGAATTATGTAATTTATTCTTTCTTTTTTATTTTCTCTTTTTTACATTGTTCACATTCGGATATTTTTATAAGTTCTCTAGTACATTTTAATAAATTATTTGTTATTGGTTGATGATTATATATTTCTGGTTTAGATAAATCTTGTGATGTAACACAATGAGCTTGTGGACCATTATTTGGTTTAAATACAAAATCCCATAAAACCTGATAAAAAAAAACAAAGTGAAATAATATTAATGATTGTTAAATTTATCTATATTGAAAGCCTGTGATGATTAGCATGAAATAATTGGAGGTAGTGGATAACATGGATCAATGGCGCCGATGTTACTTACTTACTTACGCCTGTTACTCCTCGTGCAGGAGCAAAGGCCGCCCATCAGCACTTGCCAACCAACCCTGTCCGGGGCAACACTTTCCAGTTGTTATTCATCCTTTTCATATCTGATTGCATTTTCCGACTTAATGTATTGTTTGACCTCCCTCCTTTCCGCTTCCATTCAGAATTTCAAGTTAGCGCTTGCCTTGTGATGCAGTTTGATTATCTCTAAAATGTATACGTCTTATTATAACTTCCTCCTCAGTTACAAGTTGGTTTGTTCTTTGCCGCAGTAGGACTTTGCGGATGGTATCCGGTCAATACATGTTGAATATATTACGTAGACAACTATTTATAAATATTTGTACCTTCTTGATGATGGTTGTAATAGTTCTCCAAATTTTAGATCCTTACGGTATTGAAGATTCTGACTTATCTCGAGTTTTAAATGTTTCAACATGTGATTAAATTTGGAATAAATTCATCTAAAGTTTTAGTTGAGATCTGTAAGCCTACAGTATGTATTGGATGGACTATTAATGAAATCGGATAACTGTAAGCTGATTAAAGTTTGAAATGTCGAATTTCGAATGTACTAACTGATTCACGAAATAATATTATGGCTATAATGAAATGGGGAATTCTTGAGTCATTCAATCTCTGTAAAATCATTAGTATACTCTTCTAAATCATTGATAACTCGAATCTAGACGAACTCAAGTTCATATTCAAGTTGATACCGAATACACAGATAGGAACACAATATATATGATATAGAATTTATGTCCAGTAACAAAGATTTGTAGTATAGATTAGACAATATTTTATTCAACACAGTAACAAACAGTGTACACTCAGTGAATTCATTTTAGAAACCAATAATACGTGAGGAAATCTGTTTATGTTAGTTCATCCTTATTAGTTGACAATCTGGTTTTATTTTTTTGACGAAGAAAGGTGAATATTTATCTATGAGTGATGCATATATATATTTGATTCGTTTGACTAGTCTACACACTACTGGTTTTATCACTCCAGTAACAGTTATTGAGCACAGATACAAGAAGTGTAAATGTTATTAGCATACTCGATCAAACAAACAATAAACGTCGAGAGTATAATTTATGAACCAACCAATCAGATTTATGATAGAGAATCATGATTTTTTGGCATGGAATTCTTTAATCCTAATGATTAAATAACATTTTGACATTGCAACTGATGCTAGTTCGTGATCGAAATACTATCTTCAATTCCGAATTCTGCATGGGGTGTATACTACTTATCTCTGTCAACATAAGTAGCATGTAACACCGAACAGAAGTGGAAGACCTCGCAGCAGAAGGCCAAGAAGATGGAGTTGAGTAGAACAGAAACGGGAATACAAAAGATTTGTGAATTGGAAGAACCCTACAGAATATGAAGAATAAATGATGGGATTTTACAAATGAAGTATTTAATGTATGGTTCTCATATTTTATCAAGATATTTCTCGTTCACACTAATTTATAACCCTTTTATAACGCTAACAAGTTTATAGGTATTCCTAAGGTCATTCATTCTAACCTCATTCAAAGGTCATCTGTAAACTTTAGTCTCACCTAATAAACAATCATCCCCCCCAGAATGCCTTGGTATGGCCAAGAGTGGGGAGAGTTCGCGTACATAGCCCCTGCCAGGGAAGTCCTACTCATTGACTTCTCGTAGCAGTGGTGTTGTCTACGAAATTGAGAATACGAAAAGCAAATGTCCGGCACTTTAATCGAGTTAGTGGACATGAAGAGTTCATCTAGGAGATTTGCAAAACCCTGATTCCATACCAATGGTTCACATGGGCTGGCTACAGTATCCTGAGTGAACAAATGACGTATGAACCAATGATTGGTCACCAGCTACCATGGGATCACATCTCCTCACGTCACTTCACTGCCTTATAGATCAGACCTTTAGATCAAAGGCTCCAAGTATGACCTCCTAAGATAATCACCTTCTTTGGTTTGGGCACCCGGATAGTATCACAACCCTCATCACACAATAATAATAATAACCAAAATGAATTAAAAAAAAAAAACAAACAACAAAATTCAACATCATTAACTTACTTTACATAATGATGTATGATATGGTAAATAATCATAATATTCACTAGCAATTTTTTTTAATTTAGGTAAATTTGTATAAGCAATATATGGAAAATCATGATGTTCAACATGATAACCTAAATTATATATTATATAATTTGCAATACCATAATATGAATGTGTTGCTTGTTGATCATTAAATAAATAATGTTCACTTATAAAATGTCCAGTTAATGGATGTAAACCTAAACCAAGTAATGTACCAATAATAAAATAACATAATGTCCATATATCAAAATAATACCAAATAAATAAATCAAATATCATTTGTATACAAAAATTAATTATTTCCCATAATGTTAATGGTAATGGATGTTTTATAAAAGGACGAAATGCATAAAATAATGGATGTATAATAATCCATAAAAAACGACTTATTGGATGAGTAAATAATTTCACTTCTAAATTTAATGGCATATCTGCATCACCATATTCATGACCTAACCATCTAAAAAAGAAAAAAAAAGAAAAGGATAAAGGATAAAGGAAAACGATAGTCGATTGGTTGAATATGATCAATATAAAACTCTACTATTACAAAGTATAAACGAATAGGAAATTAGGAAAAAAGTTACTGAAGGTGAATAGGATATACATTGTGGAATTCATCAAATTATATCATGAGGTATACATTAATTTGAAATATTATAACAAAAGAAAAAGAGACATATAGAGTGGGAAATTTGATAGAGATATTGGAGATCATGAGTGGTATATTGTAACTACGGGAAGTGTGAATTCGGTGTGGAGTTTATGCCTTATGAAGGGTAATAGGCCTGATGAACTAATTAAGTAGGAAGTGATTTACACTAGACAAGAAACTTATGGTTTATATCATGAAGAAACTTTAATTAGTCAATCACTAAAAGCCAGAAATTACTAGTGTTGAGACAAGAGAAACATAATGAATAGTAACTTTAGGATCCTTTATGGACCAATACTAAATGTATATTTCTATTGTATAATTAGTAAATAACTAAATTATTTATATTCATGTTCCTCTTACTATGAGCTTTATTTTGATCTATGAACTATTATTATACCATTCTTGAGTTATGGCCTGTCTATTAATTACTATCTCCCTGATTCATAGCCACTTTTGGCCAAATATTGTACAAATGTTATTTTCTATTTTATGGTACGTTGTGGTCGGTTTGATTGGTATAAGTAAATGATTCATATCGCAGAGGATGAGACTTGCGTTCTGGACTCAACTGGCTGGGTTAGACAGGGAAGCAGGACCATTCAGGACTCTAGGCTGCTCGCACGTGTTTATTCGTCACTGGTTCAATCGATAATTCGCTGCTCTCTAATAGGCGGTATCGTTGCGTTATCCAATATGCAGGGCACACAGGTTCACAAGTTATAACAACTAGACAACTATTTCATTCTAGTGTGAGACTTCTCATCAATGTGAATCCACAATCACTCGAGAGGATCAAACTTAGAACCAGAGAAGTGTCACGGTGATCGCGTAGCCATCAAACGACTGATTTAAAGTTCAATGGTTGATATATTATTAACAACCACGAGCTAAATGCTAGTAATTTACGAGAGATAACTTTCGGATTTTTAGTGACAAACTGTGACAAGTGGAGTTAGACGATGTCGAGTGTGAATCGATTTCCACCACTCCCATGGGAAGGTGGTTGTAAAATATCGTTAATCAACTGAAGTTAGAGATGTACACCAGTGGATGTCAACTCAGTGATCTGAAGGTAAGGTGGTTACCACAAAACCTGAAGACTCGAGTTTTCATTCCCACTGAGTTTATAGATGCACATCAATGAGATGTCTCATACTATGAAACGCAGCTATTCAGTACTTTTTAGTTTTTTATGATTTTCCAAGTGAGGTCATTTGTGATGTGAACTATAAGTTAATCATTTACACAAATCCTGCTATACTAATATAACTAATGTATTCTTATTGTAGAGTTATGGCTTGTTAACTAGTATGTTCCTCTCTTTCTTCGATAAAAACTTATATGTTTCATACATATGGAAACTACACACTCATCGCTTAATGAAGAAGTTAAAACATGATAACTTAGATAAGCGAATATGACAAATTTTTGGTTGTTATGAGATGTTATCAGATATCATTTACTTAATTAAATCTAGTTGGACGTCACCACTGAAAGGTAGGAAGCATTGGATAGTTGCTTTGTCCATAACTTCAACAGAGATCAAATCTAAGATCTTTGGGCCCCGCACCCAATGATTAAACTACTAAGGGGCCAATAGATAGATACTGACCGATAGTAACGCTTCTTAATTATTACTGATTGTCTAATCACATTCAAACTGTTATGTGAAACAATTTCCCTAAAGTTATAATAAAAACAACAATAAATATAATTTTATAGAATACATAAAGTGTGGCTAACACTGAAATCAAGGAGCTCATTTTAGTTCTATTAAGAACTTATCAGCTAGGTGTACTTCCATCAGAGAGTTGATGTTCATTCCGGGGCTCGAACCCAGAACAGTGCTCTTTAAACATTGATGTTATCCAACCTGACTACTGAGTACAAATTCCATTACTAGTTACATTTCATCTATTCTATGTAATATTGTATCATAATCGTTATATTAAGACAATCAGAACATAATTATATTACTCATAAGTAATATAATATCAATAGAAATTATCTTACCTATGATGAGTTTGATGATATTTTCTATAAGATATAGCAATAGGTAAACCCATTGGTAAATTAATAAATATTGAATATAAACGATTTGCTTTACCATATTTATGCCCAAATACTAAATTATGTCCAACTTCATGTATAGCACAACCAAGTGAATGATTAAGTGTTCCACTTATTGTATATGTTAAAAATAACCATATTAAGAATGGTGGTTGATAAATTGATATGCATATAGCTACAATAAATTGTAAGAATACTTCAAGTGAACTAAAATAAGCCAATTTAATATCTGGTCCCATTAGTTCTTTCACTTCTGGATATTTTGATAAAATTTCCTTGAAAAAGAAAAGAAAGAAAAAAGAAAATTGAAGAAGTAGAGAAAATAGGAGATTATTGTCATAGGATTGGGGAGATTGTTGAGGTTCATTGAAATTGTGAACTGATCAATGTTAGACTATCATTGAAAACTTAGAAACACTGGATGACTGTTTCGTCCTAACATGACACTCCCCTTCGGCAGTGCACATCCATGGTTCTACATGCTAGGCTCGAAACCAGGACCTTCAGCTTCGCATAAGAACTTCGCAATCACACCAGAACTCTGAGAGTTACCTTTTAATGCTAGTCACTAGTAAGCACATTATAACCATCAGTATAGAGTTCTAATGAGAATCCGTGACGAGTGGAGTTGGGTCGCGTCAGGTGTGAAGCTGCTATCTACCGAACACAATAAAGAATATCATGCAATATTGTGGATTGACTGAAGTTGGAAATTAACACTGTTAAATGCCGAACAAATGGTATAGGGATTAGGTGTTCGCTTACCATACCAAGAGCCCTGTGTTTGAAAGTGGGATACTGCTGGAGTCTCTACTTGGGAAGGAACGACCGTCCAGTGTCTCCAGGTTTTCAATAGTGATCTAACATTGGTCAACCCATGATCTCAATAAAATAGGGGATACTACTTGAATAGTTTTGCTCTTTGTTGTGCTTCGATAGCTTGTACAACAGAAACTTCTATCTTTGGAGTTTGAATGAATTTAAATAACATCTGTGGATAATTACTGAAATCTAATGATTAGTAAAGGTCAATCATAGTCAGAGTGAGATGTTAGATGATCAACAACACCATAATTTGATAAGAGTAGCAAGTTTGGATGATCGAATTCCAACAGTTTGAATTACCGAATTGTTGATATTGAGGATTAATTTTTAATAATTCCTAGTTGGGATATGTGCAACCTGTATGGATTCCATTAACACATGTCATGCAAGTTATTGGCTATAATGTATTGGGCAGCTTAGTGGATAAAGCGTTTACAGACCTGGTTGAACTCCACTGGTAATGGTTCCTCACTAGAACTCCAGGGGTATCTCTTGAAGACAGTCACTAGTGGGCATATGTTGATTAATATCAAAAGGGGTACCAAAATGCGACGAAACGACCGTCCAGTGCTTATAGGTATTCCATGGTGGTCTAGCTTTAATTGACTCATGATATCAACTTAACGAAACCCTTCTGATAATAATCATCTGCTCACAAGTGACTGACTTTAAGAGATACTCCTGAAGTTCTAGTGAGAATCAGTGACCAGTGGAGTTCAACCATATCTGTTGTGCATTAGTAACTCATTGAACACAATGGTGGATGTTTCGCTTAATTTCGTAGATTAGTTGAAGTTACACATTAACACCACTGGATGCCAGCCGGCACATTGGTCTAGAGGTTGAATGTTTGCACACGAGACTGTTATGTTCTGTGTTCGAATCTCACAAGGTGGGATACTGGGTGCTTATTACTGATGAATCCCACAATAAGACGAAATGACCTTCCAATACTTGCAGGTTTTCCATGTTCTCAACTATTAAAATAGAATAATAAATATTCTTTTAATATATTTATATATGTATATTTCTTAAACAGTTGATTGATAGTATTTTGTAGATTGTCCTAATTCTAAGCCCTCATATTTTAAAATTTATTAACACTTTATAGATTAACTCTTATTGTAATCTATAAACTGATTATTCAATTTTAGATCATAGGTGTTCTAGTTATCTACAAATTGAGATATACTATTCATAATTTGTTATGATCTTTGGAATTTATGTGTTCAGTCATATACAGTTTAAAGTTTGTATTATACAGAATAGTACAAGATGATTGTGTGATATTTTGTATTTGAAAGAAACAAAATAAAATATCACATAGGCTACTAATCATCATTTTAGCATATCAAATAACTGAGTTCCTAGGCGAATGATTAATAGGACACTAAAGAAGAAAATCAATGTTTTCTGTTTTATTTCTGTCCGAAAAACTTAGATCTTATTTCACAAAACTGAATGTTCCTGAACAATTGTCTTCTAGTAACGAAAAAAGCATCATTAATATAGGTACGTAGGATAACATAACAGCGATGTTGATTAAGAGTGAGCTATCTACTGATAGCATTAGTAAATGGTTGTACAATATCGTGAATCAATTGAGGTTAAAAATGTAGATTATTGAATGGTAACTTAGTGGTTTAACCTTAAGATTCCGGGGTTCAATCTCAAGTGCAGTCGTGAACTTACTTTGATATATAGTCTCATACAACTAATCAGTGCTTACTGATTTTTATTAGGTGACCAACTAAGACTAGTTCAAGATGTAAACTATAAAAATCAACTGTCATCACAAATTTGATAAATTGATGATCGTCAGGTTCCACGTTTCACACTCTCAACTGAAACCCTCAACAAAAGGTCTATATATTAAAGAATCGAATTTGGTTAGTTATGAAAATAATTCTATACTTTTATAAGTTCAGAGTTTCATTTTTGAAAAACTAAATCTAGAAACAAAGACAATGAAAGTCAAGTACAACAAAATTTATTTGAACATAGCACGAATTTCTATCAATTTTATCAATCATATTTCTAATTGAACATTAACAACTCAGTTTATAGGTACCTAATATAGATTACCATGAATCAAACCTAGGGATTTTAGGCGTATATGGTTGGGACACGTGTTACGTATGTCTGAACTACGATTACCACGACGTTTAATGCTGACTAGTGTATGAGATGGCTGGAAGAAAGTCGAGGCGGCCAAACCAAAACGTGGCATCAGTTACTGAAGTCATTAACTTATATTTTTAGCCCGGTTGGTAGATGCAGACTACTTGGTTGTGGTTCGCGTGACTATCGTAATCAATGATTGGAGAGTCTGTGTGACATGGCTCACAATCGATCACAATGGTGTAAGTGTATACACTCTCTGTCTTCCATTAAACCATGAGATTAAAATCGCTTGATATCTTTCTTTCTACGAACTAATTCTTTTTTCCTTATATGTAATCTTTCTTTTATATATTACCACCTCTGAATGAACTACTTTTATTAATTTGGTGTTCATCTTGTTGAACTGATGCGGTATGGCAACTTGAACCGATGCATATATGTGCCTGGTTCTACATTGTAGCTGAATGACTTAAGCGTATATTAAGACAAAGAGCTATAGATTACTTCCTGAATTTCACCAATTCTTTTATCCAAATCAATCTTTGATGTAAAACTTAAAAAAATATATTTCAACACTATTCATAACATACTTAAAACAATTATAATCAAACTATCTTCTATTTATTCATTCATTTGAATTTGTTTTAGTTTCATTCATCAAATACAATATGAATCATTGATACAATCAAATGAAATGGGTGTACATGTTTTTAAGTTCATCATCATCATTCATCATTCATCATTCATCATCATTTAGATTTGCATATATGTTTGATATAATGAATAGTTTAGTTTATGGATAACTTAAAATGAGTTCTTAAAGATAGAATAAGAATTAATTCAGACAATAACAAGTTATACTAAGTAACTAGTTTATATTATATTTGTTTAAAGTGGAATTAAATGTTAGAAGTGAAATTGTCTGGTCGATTATTAATGAAAGTAAAAATCTTTAACTATCTCTAATCATTATTACTTATGACTATTGAGTAGACGTTTTGTTGATTTGTATTTTGTTATATTGTCCATGTTTTCACTATACTTAGAGTTAGTTATAATGAATTATCATGAATTCGTTAAGCATAGATCTTTATTATATTATTTTAATAGTTGAGATTATGAGTCAATCAAAGGTAGACCACCATGAAAAACCTGCAAGTACTGGATGGTCATTTCGTCTTATTGTAGGATTCATCAGTAATGCTCACCCAATATCCCACCTTGTGAGATTCGAACACAGAACATAACAGTCTTGTGTGCGAACACTCAAACTCCAGACCACTGAGTCGACTGGCATCCAACGGTGTTAATATCTAACTTCAACTAATCCACGAAATTAGGCAATACATCCACCATTAAGTTCAATGAGTTACTAACTCACAACCGACCTGGTTGAACTCCACTAGTCACTGCTTTTCACTAGAACTCTAGGAAATACCTCTTGAAGCCAGTCACGCTATCCAGTGCTTCCATGTTTTCTTTGGTGTTTTAGCTTCAATTGACTCATGATCTGAACTATTGGAATTACTATGATATTCACAAAACCCTTTCTTGCATCATATTATTAATTATATTTACTAATGTACTCATAAATAAATGAATCTTCATCTCTGGTTATCATAAGGACTCAAGTCATTTTAAATGCTCAATTGTTTATTTGACAACGTTTCACTTTAATATATATTTGATATTAACATTTTTTAAATGAAACATTCAAAGACTTTGTTGTTGAATGTTTCACAGCCATAGATACACAGATATGTAAATTATTATGTAGTCAAAGTTTAATCACCGACATTATAAAGAAAACTAGCTGTTTTTCTCTCATTATCTTTTAAAGAACATTCACAACCATATGATGCCTGGTTAATCCTAGAAACTGTTAGATCACACTCCGTTTTACGAGATAGTGTTGTCTAGGATATATATATTGTAGTGGACGCTACTCATAAGAATGTTTGTCAGTAGTGTGTATTGGAACGCAACGTCAAAGTTACATCAATTGTTGAACAGAGCGAAGAGTTTAAATGCATTAAAAGGATCGTGTTAGTGATACACTTGAAGGTAAGCCGAGAAGACAATTCAGATTATAGAACACACCTGGAAGATGTAAATGGACGGTTGAAGGCTATGTATATGCATAATATAAATACTTTGCAACTTCTCCCAATTGATAAGTTTACCCCTGCTTATTGTCGTGTTTTACTGTACCGATATACATACACTAATTAGTGTAATTAAACGAAGATTTATAGTTTCAGATGATGGTGTCGGTAAAGATTCATTTTCTAAGCTGGATAGTTTAATTGAATGATAATATTTTTTTGATAAGTTTAACAAGGTGCAAAGAACAAAGTAATAATAATGATAATAATAATAATAAAATATTTGATAACATACTTTTCGTCTTGACACATGTGGCTCTTCATCATAGCTCCATTCATCTTCATCATTTTCCATACGAAATAAGTAGGTAACACCACGAAAAAAACTCCATGATTCTGATGTCACTAGAAATATAAGTTGAAATGAATAAAATCAGTATACATATGATTGACTAGAGTAAAATATTTTAATAAATATTACTTATTATTATTACTCAAAAGAATGAAATTCAGTCAAAGGGAGATTTGGGATAGGGACGTATCATATATATATAAGAAAGATCATTTGAAAGTGAGATCTGAATGTTTTATAATCTATGCGATGTAAAATATCGCTTAGATTAAAAAGAAGAAAGTAATGAGCAATTTTTAACCCTATACACTGACAATGATCATGGGTTTGGTTGCGATTAGCTTCAAGAGAAAATTTTCGTAGTTCTAGTGAGAAGCCGTGATCAGTGAAGTTTAAGCGTGTCAGGTGTAAGGCAGTTACCCACCGAAGACAATGGAAGATGGTTACGCGATATCGTGGGTTGATTGAAGTTGGACATCAATACCGTTGGATGCCGGTCTAGTGGACTGGAGATTTAGTGTTTGCAGGTGATATCGAAGGTCCTGTGTTCCATTCATGTACGAGTGTGAGAACTTAGATGTACAAAACCGAAGAGTCCCATACCATGAGGAAATGACCTTTCAGTGTTTCCATGTTTTCACTGGTAGTCTAACATTGATCATGATTTCAATGAAGTCCAATACTGAGAAAAGTAATGAATATTATGAAAAGACAAGAACAACTAGAAAAGTTAAAAGAAATATGTAAAAATTCGGTCGTTATTATTCATTAGGAAGAGGAGTTTATAAGGATTATTCATTTGGTTAATAGTTTACATGATGGACAACCAGTCAGTTAGAAAGACATATAAATTGACACACAAATACATCGGTTCTAGTTGTTACAACATCATTTAAGGACAGTGAGATGGGATTATCAAGAAAAATGTCAGAGTAGTTGAAGTAGTAACAGCATGATTATTGTTCATAATTGAACCAATGATGGTTCAAAAAGCACATCCTAGATTTTAGCTCAGGATTCGTTCATTCTTATAGTTAAACAGCATACTGGCACGAAAGCTGTTGACAGTTTGCAATGAAAGTCCTAATTTCTCACACTTCTTTGATAAAACGAAAAATGGCTTAGTCGGTTGAAGTGAGAATTACTTATGAAAATGATTTTTTCACAATCGTCTGTAGCATGTAACCAAATCTGGAGCAGGAGTAATCATGTAACTTTGTCGTTTATATTCTTTGGTCATAGATGCCTAACTCAAAACAACTTTCGACCAATATCGAAAACAGAATCATCAATACAAATGTCAAAACAGTCCCACTGTACGGAGCTGAAACTTGAAGAACTACTAAAAACATCATCAAGAAGGTTCAAGTATTCATAAATAATTGTCTACGCAAAATAATCAACATCTATTGGCCAAGTACCATCAGCAACAGTCTACTGTGGCAGAGAACAAACCAGCCTTCAATTAAAGGGGAAATTAGGAAAAGACGATGGAAGCAGATAGAACAAACTTTACGGAAATCACCAAACTGCATCACGAGGCAAGTGCTAACCTGGAATCTTGAAGGGAAGCGGAAAGAGGAAATTCAAAGAACACATTACGTTCGAAAATAGAATCAGATATGAAAAGGATGACTAACAACTGGAAAGCTCTGGAAAGTATTGCCCAGGACAGAGTTGGATGGCGAGCGGCCTATACTCCTTCACGAGAAGTAACAGGCGTAAGTAAGTAAGTAAGTAAGTATAGATGCCTAATCGTATGACATTTTAAATATCCTTTCATACAGTAAATTATCGCTTGGTCGATGCTCAATATTACTTAATTCAATTTATACAACTATGAATGTTAAAACTGTATAAAAATTAGTTTATGTGCATATTAATATAAATTACTTAGGAAATCAAATAAATCTCTATCGACAGCTTTTGACTTTCAATACATGTCATCGTATTTGTGGTTATAGTATCGAGCACTAGCCAGTTAGGCGTTTCACAGTTATAATTGTGTCAGACATAATGTAATTCATATTTCGAACCAAGTAAGTGATTGAATTTTCTCACGGTTGCTTTAGTATCTCACAGAGGTCGTCCAAGATTACATACATATTGAGATGGCGGAGAAGATTTGTAGCTCGGTTGGACGATTTCGATGGAGCTGGATGGTTTGCTCATGGAGCTTTAATCGTTCTTCTAGACGACATCATCAGCACAAGCTTGTCTACAGGACAAACTTTGAACTACATGTAGAGAAATTTGAACACTACACTTCTCCTTGAAGTTTGTAGCGATGACGTCGTTCAGAAAAACGATGAAAACTTCACAACCAAAACATCCAGCTCAGAAAACAAATCCCCATCAAAAACATATATATTGTTTATTCATAAGAAAAATATTAGTGGTGATAGAAAACCTTTGGGAGAGAGAATACTATAAGATAATTTTAGAACTCAAAACCTATAGAAGGAAAAAATCTAAAGTATTCTCATCATTGCAATCAATTCTTAGCCACGTTATCCAATGTCTTCAATTATTGGTTAAAAACATAATGTAGATTACAAACGAACAGTCTAGACCTATTAACATAATTCAAATTAACACTTCATGGACTAACTCCACGTCTTGGTTTAATTGTTTGGTTTGAATATAAATACTTTTCCGATATTATTATAGATTTAAAATAAATGCTTTTAAAAGATTAAATGTATCAGATATTGAGAAGAAATGTAAGATAATTGTAGAAATTGATGGTATGTAATAAAGTTTAACGAAATGATTACGTGACCTTTAGTTAATCGAGGTCATTATTATGCGTGTTAACTCTATCATCGATCAACAGTTACCATGTTTGATAATGAAAATCAATCAACAAATAATAATCTATCGATTGAGATCATTAACCGATTGATGTTGGACCACCATTGAAAACATGGAAATACTGGAAGGTCGTTTCGTCCTATGGTGGGACTCCTCAAGAGTGTGCAACCACGATACCGCCCTCGGGATTCGAACCCAGGGCCTTCGGTCCCGCGCGCGAACGCTTAACCTCTAAATCACTGAGCAGTCATCCAATGGTGTTAATGTCTAATCTCAACCAATTCACGAAATTGCATGACCATCCTCCATTGTACTGACACGGACTAGCTTAACTGGTCACAGCTTCTCACTAGAACTACGAGGCCAGTCACTACTGAGCACATGTTAATTATCATTATAGATTTGTGGAGTTTATTAAATTATTGATTGAGATCATGAACCGATTGATTAAGCGTTCGTTCACGGGACTGAAGGCCCTGGGTTCGAATCCTGCGAGCAAGGTCGTGGATGCACACTGCTGGGGAGTCGTACAATATAGGACGAAACGGCCTTCTAGTGGTTCAAGGTTTTCAATGGTGGTCTAACATCAATCGGTTCATGATTTCAATCAATAACTTAATAATCCCTACAACCCTATACTGATAAATAATAATCTAGTCGGTGTATTTTCTTCTATTGTATTAACAAAAAACAGTTCATGTAGGCTCCTGATAGAAATGGTTCACTAATATCTGGACTATTTTTTACCCTGTTTCAATAAATACATTGAATTTATTGTTATTTACTCTTGGTTTGATAAAATGACATATTTTTCATAGTCTTTTATTTATCATCATTGGTTACACATTTAACTCATACTCACTTGCCTTTATAAAACCTATAAATTATGTAGCAACGTAGTAATAGACAATAAACTGATGTGTATTAAACATTAAACAAGTTAGTAACACAGATAATCATAATGAATACAAATTAATTGTTAACCATGATAAACAATATGTTGGTAACTATTGAACAAATAGTAAACCATACAATTCATTCAAATATCTATGAAGTAGATAGATAGATAGATAGGTGTATAAAACAAAGACTATTTAAAATCTACACACCCATTATTTATTTTATCATAGTTACCAGTTCAAGGTTATGATGCAACCCATATTACCAGTTTTTTAATCCTATGAATCTTATACAAATCCTTCATCATCTTTAAAATGATCATATAATTTATCTTATCTGTCTCTGAACTTCACTCAACTATTACATCGCCCAACCCTAATGTTTCCTTGATTCTAACACCAAATAATCTCTGACTTTGGTATAGTTTACTTGAATCTTTCTATTGATGTTTAGAACTACAATTGATCAGTCTCTTGAAGTGGATACTATGCGTATTGCCTTAATTCACAAGCATTATAAACTAAGTGGGTAACGCGATGGCGAACAGTACTAGGTTCGAGTCACAGAGTAAATATCAACTCAGATGCAGGCACATTCAGTTGACGAGTCTCAAACAGAACGAAATGTGCGCCCTGAAGTCCATTGCTAGCCACTATTCATCTTTGCTTATAACCTTTGATCTATGCTTGCATATATATAGTTATTATTGGTAACCCTTGTCATTCCAATTCATTGCATTCTCTTATGTTAATTGTTCCACACTATATCTTACTTTAATGTAAAATTCTAATACATATTTGGTCGCAAGCAGCTGATGAGAAACCACGAAATATAATGACTTCGTATTATTTTCCATTAATGTTTGTTCTGGCTTTATTTAAGTTATGGAGTAAACTGAGTTTACATATCGCTGTTCGGAACAAAATACTTTAATAAGTATCAGTTATTATTATTGAAAAGAATGGAATCGAGCCAATGAGTATACAGGGGTAGGGATGTTTCATAAGTATAGGAAAGATTATTCAAATTTGATATCTGATTGTTTCATAGTGTATATAAAGTAAAATAGAACTTAAGTAAACAGTAATAAACAGATTATGCTTGATAGACTTATCTTAATAAGATAATAAAAGAAAGAAATATATGTATAAAATGTAATGTTGAATGCATCAGTATCCAACAAATCATTTGAAACGTATCACAAATAGGTTAAATGATAGGATTCTGTAATAAACAGGTCAACCTGATAAACCAAAGCTTTTCTACGCCAAAGTTAGTGTTTACAACTACTTTCTGTTTGTGATAGGACTGATATGGATTAGAATTACAACAGAATCCA